CTCTCTCTCTCTTTGTAGAGGCGACGACTTAAAACGGTGTTAACAGTGCGGAAGTATCGCCCGGCCTGCGGCCCTCCCCTCCTCCCGTCACCCCCATCCCCCCGCCGTGACTTTTAGCCGGAGGAAAGTCGTAAACGTCGCTGTAAAACCAACTCCATCCACTTGACTTGCTGCGGCGACGAGGAGTGCGGCGTGGAGCGGACCAAGGCGGTCACTCAGCGTCACCACCAGCAGGGGTTTGTTTTCACCTCCAGCCGTGCGGTGAGGAGTGGGAGGTGGGGGGTGCCTCGTGCCCAGCGGGGAAGTCCCTCACGAGCCCCTATCCGATTTAAAGGAGAGCTGGAGGGCCAGGGGGGGGGGAGAGAGAGAGAGAGAGAGAGAGAGAGAGAGAGAGAGAGAGGGAGTTTTCTATTTTTCTCTACGCCGATCGGATGCAGCTAAGACTTCAATCACGTTATGGAAATGACCTTTCGCCCGCCCACATGTATGCAGTGTCAGAGAGGGCGGCAGGTTTGCCAGAGAGGGGGGGGGGGGTGGTGAGGGACAGAGGGAGTTGGCTGAGAAGCCCGAGCCGCTCTAGGTCGCTATTTTTGCCTATCTATACAGGCGAAATGGGGGCGTACGTATCAGTTGGCAGGCCTTGTGCGGAGGTTGCGCCCCGCTCCCCTTTCTTTATTCCTCCTTTCTTCTGCTTCTCTCTCTCTCTCTCTCTCTCTCTCTCTCTCTCTCTCTCTCTCTCTCTCCCGTTATCTCTTCCTCTGCCTCTCTCGCTCGTGGGATGCCCTTCACCCTTTTACTTTTGTTCACTGATACACACAGCCTACAAAACCGCCGCCCACCACTCACACAACCTGACACCTAACCAACCTGACACAACAATAGTTGTGCGCTCACTGACAATATGTCTCTTCGGTTTCTTTTCCTCTTTCCCCGTTTCTTTTCTATACAGCGGCAGAGGGGATGGATAGCTCTTGATCCAGGCGAAACGTTGTTTTCGATGGTTGAACACACAAGATCTAGTTTTAATTCAACTTCGTTTCAAGGGTTTCAAGCGTCACTTTTCGTCGTGACAATAACTTGTTACACTCCTTTTCCCGCCATCACACCCCTCCCACCAGCAGGGCACGGTGTGGCCGATGGTGGCGGCCGCTGGGTACTTAGAACAAACTTCCTGCTCTTTTCTCTCTCTATCACTTGGTCCTGTCGCGGGCTGCGGTGGCCTCGCCCCGCCTCGCACAGCTCGCCGCTCCGTCTCAAAGCTTTATCAGAGAGGCTGGCTTGGCTGACATCTCGGAAGGGAGCAGGGCCTCCTCCTCCAACCTCCCGCCAGCCATTCTCTCCAAAAGGCCCTGCAGCTCTGCCGCGCCCCGCGAGCCGCGCACTGCTTTTGAATAGCCCGCGCGACGGACGCGGCGCCGCTGCAAAGAAACAAAGGCTGATTGTGCGGCTCCAGCGCTTCCAAAGTGTGGAGGAGAATGAGGAGCTAATCCGACCGTCAGAGCCGCGCCGGCCGGACACAAAAACGTTACGAGAGACAGCCGACAGTCATGCGAGGACGGAGGACGGCGCGGGAAAACGATCCCTTTTTAACTTTGCCGTCTTTTTTTTCGCACGTAAATACCACCCCACTGTTTGCTAATTTATGAAAGCTTTGACAGAGTGTGTGTATTATAACACTTTGCCGCAAAGATCAGAGATAAATATCAGCGTATTTAATAGAATGAAAAAAAGGGGCGGGGTAGCGTTTAAATGGTAGTTACTCCTTTTACATTTTTGTTGCACGCGCATCGTCCCGCACGGCCTGTCGCTCTGCCACCCACCCCCTCACCCAATAGACCACACACACACACCCACACACACATCCCCCTGCGCTCATTACCATAAGTGATGCGCCGGGGGCGCTGACCCGCGGGCGTGCTCGCATGCAGCACTCTGAAAATACAACAGAGGGACAGCCCCGCTCTTCCAACAGTAAATGAGACAGTCCGGCTCTGCCAACAGTTAGTGGGACGGTCCCACTCTTTTAACAGAGCTAGTGGGACAGTCCCGCTCTTCCAATTGCTGGTGGGACAGTCCTGCTCTTCCAATTGCTGGTGGGACAGTCCCGCTCTTCCAATTGCTGGTGGGACA